TTATTCTTGGGAACCTACACAAAATAAGATATGCTTTCCAGTAGGTTCCGGTTTCATTTCATAATATTGAACTTACTTTGTCAACTAGGTTTTTATTGTGCACACAATTGATGTATGAAATGGAATAAAATCAATCAATCGATCAATCATATAGTGACAAAGTCCATTCTCCCCGCTTCCAGTTTTGAAAGCTTTCCGTCTTCACTGTTAAAGGTAGGTGTCGTTTTGATAATGATAAATGGGTTTTATTGAACAAATAATGGTATATGTTTTGGGAGACAGATATTTCGAGGATCTCATTAGATTTTTTTATTTCATTTCCAGGAACACAAAAGAGTAGAATCAACACTAGTAAAGGATAAGAGAAAACTAAGTACATGAACACATACAATGACATCAAGTTATCAACTAGGTACTGCGGAACAGCCAAATATACAGGCCTTATTTGATTCCGTGTTTATGATCATAAGTCTCCTGTGGGTGGTCATTTACCAGTATATTCAATATTGTTCAAATAAACTTATAAGTGGGTTGTTTTATTACCCAATATTTTCGATGGTCCATAAACGTATTCCTCATCATCTTTGATAAATATTGACCATCTAACTGCGTATAGCTGGGAAAATGAAGAGGGTGGAAGGGGGAGCTACAGGGAATTTTGTCATATAAACATTATATTCATCTTTCTCTCTTTATAATAGTATTGTTGATACAAAATAAAGACATAAATATCTGCAAAAATATATTTATCTATGTCCGGTAGCTTGGAGGCTGTTGGAGCGACAATAAAACGGACCTTGAGACACACGTTATGCATACCTTGCTGCCTTTAGCTTATCTAAATATAATCTTAATAAATAAGTTTATCTTTGTCATTTTAGTTAATCTATGTCATGAATTTTGTCTGGGGCTGTCGTATTATCAAGCAATCTGCTTACATTGACAGTCCTTAATCTTCCGCAAATAATCTTATAACGTTTGAGGAAATTTAGTATTTATGACAGTTTATCATTTTTTGTTGAAAATAACAATTGTTATATAATTTGCTTATTTATGATGCATTGTAAGCAAAATACTTATTATACTTTATATTATTATTGTTATCGAAATACTGTGTACTTACATAAATGCAGAAGAAAATAAAATCAAAATAGGGCAATTTGTCCCAGATTTTGAATATACATCAATAAACTTATGAGGGAAGGAGAATATAAATATTAGCTCAGCAACAATTTGCACTCAATCATCTGCAACATCACGTTTACATATTTAGGCTCATCAAACATATCTTTTGCCATTGCCGACTCGCTTGATTGCTATTGTAAATACAGCGGTCCTGAAATAACTCTGTCTATATAGACCTATTTCAGATAAGGATCTAGAAATGTGTGTATGGAAAGGAAAGCCTTTTATTACAATTTTCGAAAAACAAAATATTCTTGATAAAGCGATAGCGATATGCTCCGTGAGTTCCACGAAGACGAGAGCCTGATGTTAATTTTCCTTCTTACTAGGGTTGAGATTTAAGTTAAAATTTAAATCGTTGTTGCAAACGATGAGGTTAGTACCCCTTGTGTTCATGAAATCTAAAGGCTATGTTGAATTGTATTCCCGTAGTACAATAAATACTGTAATGTGTCCTAAAAAACATAATTAGCCTAAATGAAACACGAGTCTTATAGCCCCTCTGCACTAGTTTAGCAAAGAGGGATTAGACCTCCCTGCAAGGTCACTGACAGGTGGTTATCTCATAAATTAAGTTCTCAATTTACTTAAGAAGAAGGGCATCATGGGGGATCAACGGGTACCGCTTAGGCATTGTTGGCTGTATGAGGGCGCAAGTAGCCATAAGTAGTGCAGTGGGGCTTTAATATAATAAACCATAATGTCATGTGAATGCTTATGCCAATGTACAAAATAAGATCGTTACATATTTGGTAGATATCAAGTAAACAAACAACAAAATATAATTTGAGGTATCCTCTTATTTCATATCTGAACTTCATGCTTGTTAGCATGCACCATATATTTTCATATCTTTGTCAAATTACGTACTACTACAATTTTCAATATGTAAAAAGTATGTACACCTGTAGTGTGAAAAGAATCGCAGAATGATTGTGCATGTTATAATGATAAAGCCCTTCCATGCCATGATCGGCAAACTCCAAATTTGAGTTTAAAAAATGGTTACAATTTTCTTCTTGAAACAGGAACAATCCATTCATTGTGAAACTTATCATGAATAAACTGCACGAAAGTGCGGAAAGTAAGCCATATATTTACCATTTACTACTCTTATCATGTACTGCATACTTATTAAACATGTGATAATGATGTTTGCTACGCGTTTTCCTTTATTAAAAATATTGTTAATGCTTGAAGTCTTTAGTTGTGGCGTTTTTGGTGTGATTTATAACACGTTTTCGACATGCACTGATTGCATGGCGTTCATTTTATCAAGATTCGCTGAAGCGACTATATTGACATGGTAACACCCACTGGTACCGACATCTCTAATACCAACTGTTTATTCATAATACTACGGTCGGTGTTAAAAAACAAACAAACCAAAATTCTAACGTTAACCACATGTACTGCAATCCAGGATCTCCCCAGCTAGTTATTCAGAATATCACTTCCTAATAATGATTTTCAATTCAGAATATGATTAATGGATGATAATAATATTGTTAATAAGAATGTCGTTTACACACGGGAGCCTCATCGACTTCAATGCTGTTATTTCTAAGGGCCGTGCAATTGCTTATACCGATCGATTGCCAGGTATGCATTTACACCCGGGTGGAGATTGGCAACTGTGGATTAAAGTCTTGCAACAGGACATTTGTGCCGGACTATGAATCGAATCATCAAACATTGAATAGAGAATTAATTTAATGAACGACAATATAGTGGTGAAGTGTGACGTAATCAAAAATCTATTTTTGGAATTTCTCAATTTTTGTCTTCATTTTCCGGAAGAGCATAAAAAATAACGTCCAAATGTAGAAAGCCAATTGAATATGTTAAGTATGTGCTGAGATATGATCATCTCAATAAATAGGTTTCATATAGAAACTCAGTGTTATAGTGTTCTGGTTCACAACATTACGAGCCAGAGCAATAACATTGTGTCATGATGTCACAGCTTTGGCACTCCACGACAACTCCCATTAGGAGCATATGCACCCCTCAAAGCTAGTGCACCTTCTGTTTAGGGTTCCTGGGGATACTGCTTGTAGTGGGTATACAGGGTGAATTGCCATTTAGTCCACAATAAATCCGCCTACTACCAGATTATCCTATTTCCATATGGTCTTCACCCAGCCCGTCTACTATCCCAATGGTCTAATAATCATTTCATCTACTTATCATTTCGTCTAATGACCATGAAGGCTAATAGTCATTTGGTCTAATTTCCATATGGTCTAAGCTCCAATTATTCTCCTAACCATTTGGTATTTTTTTCATTTAGTCTATTACCAGTGAGTCTGAATTCCCAATTTGTCTAATGCCCATTTCGTCTTTATATAGTCTAACAACCATTCAATCATAAATAATCATATTCAAGTGATTATAAGACCTTATGGATGGTAGTCGAAATGGACATTAGACAAACCGTGGATTAGACCAAATGGTTATTAGACAAAATGAACAGTATATCAAATGATAAGAAGACGAAGTGAAATTTAGACCATGAGGATAGTTGATGGGCGGGGTATAGGCCAATATGGGAATAGAACAATTGGGTATGTAGACAAAACGGAAATTAATCGGTATACAGCTGTCAGTGAGGCTCATACTAAAATGAATGCAGCAGCCCCTTGGCCAACTCTCATCATTTTCTGCATATGCCTCTGAACTTTTTTTTCCAGACTTCATGTGTTATTATCATTGTAAATAAGCGACAATATTGATTAAGAGATACCTGAAGCATGACTGCATACCAGACGGCGCGGGACTTTGTTCATCGCCCATGACACCAAAAGAAACAATTCATCGGGGATGGGAGCAAATATGCTGTTCGTGTCAATAAAAAGCGGGGTAGACCCAATTTGAGTTCATAGTTAGTGACTGTTTCGATTATTGTCCGGCTCACACATACAAGTATATTCTGAGAGTACTTTTGCTGTGTTGGGAAGTCACCATTGACATCTCACCTGTCGACCGAAGATCCCACAGTCTTCAAAATACTTACATTAAAATTCTGGTAAGTCATATTTTATTATGTTTCACATTTCTCCTGGTAAATTCATTCATAATAAATTACCTTACACACAAGAACTCACTTCAATTGCTCAACGCAAAAACATTTAGGCTCACACATACATGTATATTCTGAGAGTACTTTTGCTGTGTTGGGAAGTCATCACTGACATCTCACCTGTGCAACCGAAGATCACACAGTCTTCAAAATACTTACATTAAAATTCTGGTAAGTCATATTTTATTATGTTTCACATTTCTCCTGGTAAATTCATTCATAATAAATTACCTTACACACAAGAACTCACTTCAATTGCTCAACGCAAAAACATTTAGGCTCACACATACATGTATATTCTGAGAGTACTTTTGCTGTGTTGGGAAGTCACCACTGTCAGCTCACCTGTACAACCAAAGATCACACAGTCTTCAAAATACTTGCATTAAAATTCTGGTAAGTCATATTTTATTATGTTTCACATTTCTCTTGGTAAATTCATTCATAATAAATTCCCTTACACACAAGAACTCACTTCAATTGCTCAACGCAAAAACATTTAGGCTCACACATACATGTATATTCTGAGAGTACTTTTGCGGTATTGGGAAGTCACCATTGACATCTCACCTGTGCAACCGAAGATCACACAGTCTTCAAAATACTTACATTAAAATTCTGGTAAGTCATATTTTATTATGTTTCACATTTCTCCTGGTAAATTCATTCATAATAAATTACCTTACACACAAGAACTCACTTCAATTGCTCAACGCAAAAGCATTTAGGCTCACACATACATGTATATTCTGAGAGTACTTTTGCGGTATTGGGAAGTCACCACTGTCATCTCACCTGTGCAACCGAAGATCACACAGTCTTCAAAATACTTACATTAAAATTCTGGTAAGTCATATTTTATTATGTTTCACATTTCTCTTGGTAAATTCATTCATAATAAATTCCCTTACACACAAGAACTCACTTCAATTGCTCAACGCAAAAACATTCAGGTATAGGCCTATACATAAGTCTTTCATTTCTATGAAATCATTGCCTTATCATTTCATTTGGTCTCTCTCTCTCTCAAAGTGCCATATCGTTTGACTTTGGCGATCATGCTGTTCTACAACCCTCGGCTTCTAGCCTTCTCTACTTAGAACCACTCACAGATCTTTCACTCCTCCCTCTTCCAACAATTTCTGCAGACTGTCCATCCAAAGTATCCTCCTTCTTCCCTTACTCCTTCCCTCAATTTTCCCTGTCAAAGCAAGATTCTCTAGGCCTTCTTTACGTGTAATGTGACCCGTGAACTTCAACTGCCTAATCAACATCTCACGTTTCATTTTCCTTTGCACTCCAGCTCGTGTAAAAACTTCCTCATTGCTAACTTTGTCAGTCCAGGGGATTTTCATCATTCTTCTTAAAAACCACATTTCGCAACTTTCCAAACGCTTTTTAGTATCAGAGGCTAAAGTCCATGTTTCACTACCATACATAAGTACTGGGTAGATGTAACAATTTAATACTCTTATTCTGGTCCTCATACTCATTGTTTGATTTGTGAGAATTTTGCCTAACTTTAAAAATGCAGATTTAGCAAGAGCTATTCTTTTCTTGATTTCTGTCTCACATCTGGCATCCTCGGTAATGAAAATAATAAAAATCTAGATTTATAAAGCGCTTGATACGGAACACCATCTCTACTAGCGCTTTACAGATATTATTTCACGGGTCATCGGATTGATTGACGGACAATGTGCACCATCTCCACTCCCTGGGGAGTATTCCTACCACATATGGTCACCGTGAGGACATAGGCAATTACTAACACCAATGCTATCATCATCATACCGGGTCTCCATTTCTCTCTTGGGTACTGAGTTGCAAATGTAGATTAATGTCTTCCCAAGGGACAATAGTGCCGTGTCGGGGATCGAACCCACGACCTTGTGAGTGGGGGTGAAGTGGAAATGTCTAATATAACCAAGGAACGAAATATACTACTGCATTTTCACACTTTATGAGCACTCAGTATAACTTGATATTTTTAATTAACTTATAACCTTGTTTTAATTATACTTCCTTGATAATGTTACCATATTCCTTTATCAGTTTTATTAAATCATATTATTCTTGCCATAACCAGAAATCTAAATGTCATAAAAATCTAAAATATGTCATACATAATAACGGAGTAGGTACCACAATATTTAAACCCGTGTGAGTAGGGGTGAAGTGGAAATGTCTAATATAACCATGGAACGAAATATACTTCCGCATTTTCACACTTTATGAGCACTTAGTATAAACTACGTAAAAATCATACAAATCGACAGTAACAACAGTTACACACAATAACGAGAGAAGGGACTGAAAATATAGACTTTGGCTTGTTTATCAATAAATTGCTTTTACGTTTTTAGAAGTTTATTTCAGTCGAATGCCTCAGTCACACCGTCAAACCAACTCCACATCGACAACACACTGATTCCACACCGACTCTTAACCGACTGTTTTTTCCATTGGGGGTAATGTAGTTTTGTTGGATTATCTGATTATGGTCTAGTGTCGGTCTTATAAGTGAAATGGACACTATAGACGACAAGGTACGTGGATCGAATCCCTGTCAGTCACTCTGAAATCCGTCCCTGGCAATGACATTTATCTACATTATCCTATCCTGGCTCAAAGGGTGGTAAGGTACCCACTGGAAACAAATTCCTTAAAGAGTTAAGCGCGTCAGATATAGAGGTTGTCTAATAAACCCGGTGGTGATAATTACGATACTCTGTGGTTGTATCATGGATTTATGAACTAATAAGGGTACATAAAACCAACACATATGACTGGATTAGGGCCTATATGTACTATAATCAGTGAAAGCGTTAGAACAGGCTTTCTGACAATCTAAGCCAATTCCGAGATACAGAAAAAGGTAATTTTTACAAAAATGTGAAAAACCCATCTAGACGAACGCTGGACACGAGTTCATGAAATGTAGTAATTACTATTCCTTTAAGCACTAGCGGTACGTTCTATGATACACAGGTGGAAGTATCCTTTCCAAGAGGGCAATAGAATTATTCACGAAGCACCTCCATCTCGTTGGCAGTAATTATTTTGAAATGCAAAAAGTGGGATCGTCTCCATGTTTAAAATATCTGTCGATATTTGAGAGTCATTTGTGCAAGAGCTCCGAGGTGGCTTAAACCAAGAAGGTGTTTGGTTTGGTTTGGTTTGGTTTTATTTTCCGTATAAAAAAAAAATTCAATACATACAAGAATACAATTTACAAACAATACAAATCAAGAATTAAAAAACGGCTGGAAAGCTCTATTCAGAGCCATTATTAAAATGGCTCTGTTCTTCCTAGAGGTCCAGAAATAATCAAACATAGAAATAAAATACAAAATATTACACAAATATAATATTACAGACGCACTATCTACAACCCCCTCCCAAACCCTCTATAACACATTATGAATACGACTGTTACCATCCCTCCCCCTCCCCGTTTACACCAAAAGTTTATACATCAATGTTTATACATTACAATGTGATACGGCCGTCATCGAAAACATGTCATTTTTTCAACAATGCCTAGCGCGTCATTGCCTGTTTACAAAGGAACATCTTTCCATTAATTTCACAATGTAAATAGATCAAATTGAAATACGAATGTTTTGACAAGCCTAAAGTCTTGAACGCGACTTTAGCACGTACCTTCGTCGATATGACTATGCATTCAGACACTTTGTAAATAGGATGAATCATATTTAAAGTCATTTCTTCTATTGTTGAGCTAGCAGTTTACAGGAGGAAAAATCACTATAGCTCAGGGGTGACATTTGCACATTTCCTTCAGTGAAATACAAGTGGCGTAGTTACAGAAAAAAAACGAGGGTAAGGGCACCCCACTCCCTCCTCTTCTTCTCCATTGTGTGGTGGAAAATTATTTTTGTTTAAAGCTAGAAAAGAAAGAAGGGAACATTTGATATTGAGGGGGAAGGGACCAGGAAGGAAGGCACCTGGCAGGACCACCTTTGTTACCCCACCCCTCCTAATCAGCAGCCTTGTAAATTTGCATTTAATTTTCAATCCAAGTTCGATGCCCCCTCCCAATCTTTCAAGTGCTCCACGCAACGCCAATGGGGGCTACATCCTCTAACCCAAATAAACTATTATCAAATGTATTGGCTAGTGAAGTGAATACACACACAAAATTGTTATACATAAACAGTGACTGTCGTCATAGATCACCGATCTGTCCGAAAATGAGGGGTCGATTGCCCCAAAATGAGGCAGCAGTTGCCTGAAGTTGTAACTTCTAAGGCTGCAGCACCGGGCTCCAACCCATTTCTTACGCGTTTATAAGCAGTATGACTGTGGAAGAGCAACCGGTACGTTCCCTTGAGTAACAAAAGAAACTTTGCCACCAAACATCCCCACCCCCCAAAAAAAAATGGCCCCTGTTTTTATTCTTTTTATAACCCAATTTTAATGTAATTGTTGTGTGATTTACCTTAGTGTAATTACTATACTTCCAAGACTTGTGAAAGGTGATGTCATCCATTTACAAATTCATTAAACTTCGTGATCGAGTACATTCCATCGTGAAAATTATGTTTTTGGAGTTTTGAGAATATGCATTTGTCATGAAGATGGTTGTTGTTTTAATAAAAGAGCTTTAATATTGTCTATGATCTAATTTTTCACTTCAATGACTCTTTGTAGATCTTTAACGTTGTTGGTAAACTTTTTTAGTGGAATTAATGATATTCACTCACTTTTGCCTCGTTCAATAAGTATATATTATTCGAACAACGCACGTCGGTGATCATGGAAATATGCAAAGAAATTATAAGATTGAACCGTGCTAAAATTACCAAAACAATTGTATGAGGGATAATTTAAAAAATGGTATAAAATCGACATACCTACATAAGCCTTCATACATAAACCAAACCACCACTTATAAATATCCGGATCATGTTAAGTGAACCTTGAACAGTGAAAAACATAATTCCGCAATTTTCATCCGGAATCATCATGACAAGATTAATCAATTCAATTAAGGTATGTGGGATAGAAAAAAAACACAATGATACAAATGTACGTCATGCTTGGGGTGTATGTATGATCCAATTATTTGTGCATTGTGTAAGTTGGAACCAGGATTCCAAAATACCGTGTGTCGTCATAAATATAGTGACAATTTAAGTTCATTCTCCTTAAGCTGTCTATCTCTCTATTTAAAGGTTACTGTCTTCAAAAAATATGCTACCATGATGATATTGTAAAAAAATGTAATGCGTCAAACAATCGTTTCAAGGATGTCATTATAAGAATATGTATCAATCGAAAATAACGGTTAGGTGCCTCACTGAGTAAATAAGTGCAGAAATGATTGTCGCCGCGTTCTGTGCTAGCGCTCCCCTTCCCTCTGTTCTCGATGCAGGCTCGGGTTCAGGGGAAAACACTCTGTTCCTCGGACTAAACGTTGATACTCCGGTCACACATAGCACATAGCACTGCGATGGAAAACTGGCAAAGAGCGCGGCCAATAGGGGTCAATCGTGGGCCGGGCAAACGTGGGAGGACCTCCATGACCGTGGTTTGGTCGGGATGGGATCTCATAGGACGGGAAGCTACAGGCTCTCCCCACGCTTATTTTGAACGAGCACAAAATATGCGTAGCCGGTTCGTGGCCAACATGTTATAAGCGGGGCAAAGTTTTATTAAGAACGTAGTGGGAACGCTTTTATCGTAGAAACAGCGTGGTAGCAGAGTGGTAACATCGTGGTGAGATGTCTGTGTAAATATCTCGTTAATTTCGAGCCGCTTTAGGTCGTTCATCTTAGGTCGATTCTGAAGAACTACTTAAACACCCCCGATTATTATTGACATTGCCACAAATCGTAGTAGAAGCGTACTAGAAGCGTACTAGAAGCGTAATATGGTAAGCACAAGCGTAGCGACATCGTTCTTCAGTTTCTAGGTCTGTATACAAATGTAGTAGCGACAACGTAGTAGAAACGACCACGTGGTCGGCATTGGTCTAGGTGTCATCGTAGTGGCAGCGAGTCAGCAGCGCTTTGATGGGGGTATAATTAATAGCCAGGTCACACATTGACCATGGCGATCACTCCGATCTGAAAAAATATCGAATCGGAGCATTATCGCCGTCTAAATCCAGCAAATTGGGAAATTGAAGACTACATCACGACTGTACTGCGATGCTTCTACGTCAAAGCGCTGCTGACTCGCTGCCATAATTTCATTAACCAGGGTCGCCCCGTACCCTTTTTTTTCTGGAAAGAGCCTTACCCTAATCATATGGTTGTGTCAATTGTTTTGGTACTCAAAGTGAAGCGAAATGTCTCCATTGGTCTTTTTATTACCGACGGGGCTACAATGTTCTCCCTTTTCCCCAGTAAAATATACACCAGTCTAACCGCCGAATCGACTCTAAACCGGGAGGTATCACTCGTGGGTATTCGTGGGCATAATGGCAATACAATATTATGAAGATTACATATTTTCACTATTCTTTCAAATGTATGATAGTAGCCCACGCAATGGAGTGGAATTTGTGCACATTTCTTCTGAAGATTGTTATTTTTTTAATATAAGTTTAAAGTTACTAAACAATTAGTCACTGGACTTATAAAATATCAGACCATTATTATGTCTTTTTCAAAATCATGTGCGCCTTACATCATATCCGCAACTTCGTTATTCCGATCGGTGGGTGTACTGTTGACCTTACATACCGCAATTATTAAAACCTGAATAGCGTTGATCTCTCACAAGGAGATTATAATATGCCCGAGGCAAGGTCTATTGAAAACCTTACAAAACGACGTATTATCTCTTGTCATACATGATCATCCTTTAACCCTCGGTAAATAATACAATCCCTTTTCTCTTTATGCAAGATAATCCAGCGAAAATATGAAGGTGGAATACATACTGTGCATCGGGGGCCCTCTATGTCGACTATTCCATCAACAACTTGAGCGAGGCCTTTTATAATTCTATTCAATATACACAGTGCAATGATATTGTTGGTTGTTTTTGGATCGGTAGATATAACCGGATTACAGTTTTCCTTTTGCTACGTGAACTTGAATATACCTGGGTTTCATGTTATATTAAAAATTCACTGAATTGGCAAAGGAAAATGCCCACTAGTTTACTCCGTAACGATTACCTAAGGATAACTACAAGAGCATATTACTCAAACAGTAGATTTCGGTTATTCTCCTAGCGTAGCATTATTGTTTTTCGATCCACATACTACAAACTTATCACATGATATAATTACAGGTCATGTGACCAAAATGTGATATTGTTGCCTTCCAAAATTAGTAATATCATATACGCGAGAGTTCAAATGTGTTAAGCGTTGATTTATGTTTGTTTCTTTGTTTTCTTGCTATTATCGTTTTCATTTGTAGGTCTCTCGTTACCTTTATCTGTTCAACTGGCATTAGCTGAAACGGGCTCGAATTCAACCAACATGACGATGAAGACTGTCCAAATTATCGAGCGGCTCCTTGCTCTCCTATATGCATGTTTTGAGAATCTGATACACGGTGGCATCATCTTTGGCTGGCCCTCACTGGTCTTTGTCTTCATCCAGCTTGGCTATTTCAGTGAATTATGCAGTGACACCAGTGCAAATGCGACATCTTCTTTACAGGTAAGAGGCACATACCTGTGTAAATAATTTCACTTTGGGCCCATAGTTTAGTAACCATTTGGGGTGCGCATTCAATAACTGAACTCTTCTTGTCAATTAATTATGAAAAATTATTTTATATATAATGGTCCTTTTATAAAAGTATTTTTCTCGATATCCTCTGGAAGATGTTTCCTACGACACTGTGCGAATTCATTCCTTCTCAAGTTTGTATTACCAGAGCAGTGCCAGTATCTGCCGTCCTAGAATCGGACTATTTGGTTATACAACTGGGGCGGATCCATGATTTTTAAATAGAGAGGGCACAATGTTCTGGAAATTGTTGATAAGCCCCCTCCCCCCCCCAAAAAAAAGCCCCCAAAACACGAAAACTATTAGGATTGAGAGTCTCTGACAAGCAAACTGAAAGTCATCACATGGAGCACATTCTTAGACTTGTGAACTAAAGGCATGATCTCTCTAGGTTCCAAATGTGGAGCATGGGTCAGTTGTGTCCCCTCCCCCAATCCGTCAGAGCATCAAAGGTCACGCTAGCAAAGACTATTTTGATCCCCTGATCCGAGGTAGAATAGACTTTGACCTAGCGGCTTCGATTTTTACCCTAAATCGCTCGACGACGAACGCTCGATTAGGACGGTGCCCGGGCGGCTACCGCCCGGGCGCCGAGGATTTTTTAGCGGCGACCGAGCGATACCCTGAAAACAAGCAGGGGCCGGTCGCCCGCCGCCTCCGTGCCCGGGCGAAATCGGCTGAAAACTCACCGCCCGGCCGCCGAGCAGGCTACTTTTGGGGGTTGTGACCATAACTTAAGCGCCTTGCAGATATACAAGTACCAAGGTCATGTGATCCATTAAGTTTGCCCACACCTGGGTGGAGAGTTGCAAATGTGGATCTTTATTTTACCAAAACACGTTATAACCGGGCTGGGATTCGAACCCACAACCCCTTTGATTGAAAGTCAAGTGAAATTAACTGCTTTAATACCACGACACCTCTCATCGTTTTGTTTTTTGTGTGTGAATTTTTAGGATCATCTACCTATACGTTGCTGTACATTTTTAATGATCCAACCACTTTGTCATTTCCTTTAGTGTTTTTCCATTTTATTGGCTTATCTATGTTTGCAAGAAATATTTAATTGTATTCTTTGCCTTTGTATGTTTTTATGAAAGAGGTGAATAAATTCAATTCAATTTGATTCAATTTATCTTGCATGTATTTTAATAGCTCAACACTATTACCGATGCTCAAAATCTCAGCAAGCCAGGCGGTGTTGAATCTTGTCCAGAACAGGAGAGTCGTCTACAACTCATCTTCTCTGTCACTGTGGCTGTGCAAGCTTTATGCATGTTTCCTGTTGGGTTCATGTTCGATTACTTTGGTACCCGATTATCCCGCGTGGTCATGAGGTAGGTTTCCAACACAACAGTTGAACAGTGTAGTCAGGGTTCGAAGCATAAACTGCTAATTAGGAAAGAAATATAGGCCTACAGTCGGCTCATTGTCAAAATAATTTGGTATTTTTTCCAAAAGGTAGCAACATGTATAGTAATATTGCATTTTCCTGCGATCCTTGTATTGCCAGGTCCCCATTGAATACACCTTGAAGGAGATCGACAGACAAATATGGGCAAAACACCTTTGTAAACGTCGAGCAATAGTTGAACTATATGAGTCAAGAGCCTCCGCCATACAGTACTATTAAACACATATCGCTTTCCATTGACAAAATACTCCTTGCTTTTTACGAAGTGAAATACTAACAACATTTTAATTCATCTCGAACAAGTGACAGTTAATTTTCTAATGATTACCATTGCATTAAATCAAAAGTCTAATACTGATGCGTTCTAAATCCATCAACTACCATTTTGCACTCCTTTAAGTTTCTTGTTATTTTAGTTTGCTTTTTTAATTGATTGATTGTTTAAGCTATTTACAGCTATTTCATACTAACTATCTTTTAATTATTCCTTTGAATCTTACCAATAGTATCTTTATGCTCATTGGCTACGTATTAATGGCATTCAGTTCTCCAACTTACCCTATTCTGGTGTTTCCCGGAACCATCTGTTTTACCATTGGAGGAGTCATCATGCTCTTTTCTTCTATGCAGGTTTGTTATCCAATCTCTTACGATCACCAAATTTCGCATTTGATTACCAAACACTTTACCACCCAAACGCACGTTCACGCCCACACACACGCAAGCAAACACGCACAAACATACGCACCCACACATTTCAAACCCCAGTTGGCACCGCAATTTGACGGGTATATTTTGTCGGAAGTCGTGCGATCTGTGTGGGATGCATGTAATGCCTGCGTATCGTAGTACGATGTCATAGAGATGGGACCACGGTGTCGGCGAAGACAGCCAAATTTGAATATCTCAAGCGTTTTCCATGTGGTAAGAAATAAAGTTGAAATGTACTGTGTGTTCTGGTCAGCTTGTTCTGGTCCCCAAAATCATCGATAAGCAATTGAATTTTCCACGGTCGGCCGAAGGTTTTTACCATCGGGAGGTCACGTGACGCCTTCGTGACCTAGTTCGAACGCATTGTACTCTCAATACGACGTCGTGTAGCCATCGTGTGGCTTTCGCGTGGACTGCGGGTAAACTACTCTAATACAAGTGCATATCTTCGTGTGACCTTCTGCAGGCATCGTACTTGCTTCGGCTGTTGATTGACTGTAATGTTGTTCGGATCCATCTTCGTGCGAAATTCAAAATGCCATATTCGTATGGCCATCTGGTGTCAATTTGGGGACAGTGTGACGCCTGCATAATTTAGGAATACATACATGATTGAAAAATGAAAAATATAAATAGACCGACACAATCTAGACTCTAACCACTAGATCTCTAACCACGGACGTATCAAAGGGTTTGATGGCCTAGTGTAGGTATACGGATTCACCGGAACTGGCGCACGTAAGCCGCATAATAATCTTAAAACACAACCACAATGCGAGCGCACATAAACATTTGTGGTAAAACCCTGACGCAGCAGTCATTTACTTTAGGAGCCCTTTTGTTTTGACGTTTTACTTTGGGCATGAGTTATTTTACTAAGAATCGAACAATCATTTGGCGTTCCTTGATTGGTTAATACCAGATACAAAGTACAATTAATTTTTAAAAGTCTTTCATAACGTGCTCATCTTGCTTCAAATGGCTTCAAACTCTTGGAACCTTTAGACATTACTTTTCATTTGATGATTTTTCTTCAAACAGATTGGGAATCTTTTCGGAGGGCAGAAGTCTACCATTATAACATTAATCAACTCTATGTATGGTGGATCTGTCATTCTGTTATTCATTGCCAAGGTGGGATTATATTATTAACATTCAAGTACTTTTCCGAAATTATGTTAATTTGCATGGATCTCTAATCATTTCATTATTTTTTTCTATTTCATCAGTTACCAAAGAACCCACATAATTAACGTCAGAATTGTTTATTGATTACATTGAACTAAGACTTAATTGTCATATATATATATATATAAGACCACACTATTATTATTATTATTATTATTATTATTATTATCATTGGTTGTGGCATAATTATTATAATTATTAATATCATCAACAATGTGATCATTATACTTGCTGTTATTGTTGTTGTTGTCGTTGACGTCGTTATCGCTGTTAAAAAACTTATCCTTCGGTCATAGTCTATAACCAAAGATTAAATCACCTTTACTGTCTAGATAGTGCACGATGCCGGGTTTTCGATCAACCTTCTCTTCTTCATCTTGGCCGGTTCCGTTGTCTTTCTCAACATCAACACCTTCCTCGTCCTTCCTACCAAGTATATTCCCTGGCCTCTTCCAGAAGGGTACAGACTTATCACCTGTTGCACCCCCAGGACCCCTACAGAGGCGACAGAAGATTGCGCATACGACAACCAAGGGTACGCAGAGGATCCATTTAGCGAGGTGGTGGGTGTCAATGAGTACTCCAGGCGGACTAGCGTGGGTTCGACACGCAGGAAAAGTAGTACTTATGAAGGTCGGAGAATGAGCCTGTCAATTGCAATGGATACAAAAAGTGAGACGGTCGACGGTGGCATCTCCGAGGCTGAGGAAAGAAAGAAGAAGGAGTATGAAAGCCTCGGGTCGTGCCTCCTGTCGATGCCGTTTTGGCTAATACTTCTCTGGCAGGCATTTCTGGAGATGGACGTTCTCTTTACCTTTGGAACCCTAAACTTCTTCTTGACAAGACTGTCCAACGGTGATGAGGATCTCGGTAGGCATATCAAGTATGGTTACGGTCAATGGCGAATTAAGGTGGCACAGAGTGGCCAGTGCCCCATTTCAAACCTTAATGTGCCATACCTTATGCTCAGCAAAGAAAATATGAACCTGTTATAGGTCCCCCCCCCCCCTTCCCTCCAAATTTAGTCCCCCTAAATCAGAGATCTTTTTTCTTGCTTGCTTGCTTGCTTCTCAGTGATAAATTGCAACTGGGTCCAATGTATCAGATCCGCTCCTGCTAGTGTTACCTTTACATTTCAAGCTGCATCCTGGTTGAAAACAATGATTTTGTTATTTCATTCTTCATTTGGAACACTTTGGATCAGGAAGTGGGAATTATATATCAATGTATTAAGTACAATTACCGGAGCAGGTAACGTAGGTAGAAATATTGGCAGTAGAATTAGAAGTAGTAGTAATAGTAGTAGAAAAAGTACACGTGATAGTCCCTGCTTTCGTCCTTGTTTTAATACAGAATATATATGATAGAAGAGCACTCATTTGTCGCATTTGTTTATCAATGCTTATCTAATTTCTCACACCAACCCTGAACAAAACTCTATTTACCTAATCCCAATTACAACTCTAACGCTAAATCTAACATCAAACCCAATGGAAATACAAAACTTGCAACCCAAGCCCAAACTTTTTGTGACAAAATGAAGGCCCGGGCCGACTGTGGGATCACCTTTAATAGCCATATTCGTCGTCATTATAATCACCGTTCTCGTTTGGGGTTATTAGTTTATCATTTCTTTGTATTATCCAGTGAGCTGGTACACAAACGTCTTCGCTATCACACAGTTCTTCACCATCATCGTTGGTCCTCTTGGTGGTCTTCTCATGGATAGGAATAGCATCTCGATGTCGTGTTCGAAATCCAGTAAGTATATAGTGTACCATCCAACGTCAAATTATGCACTTCAAAGTGATAGTACAGTCAGTTCACTATGTGTAGGTGAGCACAACGAGCAAAGAGGGTGTGTGTGCATTTAGGTTTACCTGACATAGTGGTGGTGATAAGCTTTGTGAATCGTGGATGTCATTAATATTTATTTTTGATTGGTCCCATGGAAGAAATCATATGTTAATGTTCATTGCGCCTTTGAACTCGCCTGATATTGCCTTTTTATGCCCCTTTTCTCGATCCTTTTTTGACTTCCCATCACATCAACTTAGACTGATGATCTTTTTTCATATACATTCCATTACTCTGATGATTTGTTTCCATGATTTGTGTTCTTACTCTTCATTAACTATTTTGGCTGTCTTAATTCATATTTTGACCGTCTTATTTTTATATTATCGTATCTGGCATTGTACATGTAGTTATATTGAATGTATCCTCATCATGTAAATTGTGAACAGTTCAGCGAATCATTGGCCGCCATTCGCTCATTGCAATAAACCAGTAATAGATAAAAAGGTAGATAGGTAAACCAGTCAATAAAATATATAAATTAATAAATAAATAAAGATGTGAGGTTGTATTAGTGTGGCTGTTAATTAGTGTGATTAGAGGAAAATGCGAAAAGATGTGGGTGCCGGCCGTCTGATGTGTGTGAGTGCTTGTGGCGTTTGTGTGCGCGCGTGTGTGTGTGTTGTGTGTGGGTATGTGGGTGTGCGTGAATTTTAGTGTCGTGTGTGGGTGAGTGTCCGAAATTGGTGTTTTACTTGCATATTAGTATATGAGACCATCGATATAGAAGATCATTTTCAGTATTTCTGTTTAATGCGCAATTAAAAAAAAAAATCTTTTAGCATTAGTTATATTAAACTATTAGTAAATCTTTGCACTTTATCCGTTAATGATGTACCTTCTAAATACTAATGTGTTGGAAGCCAGAAGGGCGTTAACTCAACCTACGTTTTCATAAATTCTTGTTACAGAAATAGAACACGAATAAAAACCACTTCATGACTAATGCTCAATTTTCTATGACATTTCGCAGAGAAACCAAAGGATAGAGGCCCGTACGCCGAGATGCGAGATAGCTGTCTTCCTCTGGCCATAACCACTGTAGCTTCAATTGGCTACTCCATCTGTCTTCTGATTCCAAACCTTCGACTCCAGTATCTGACTTTCATCTTCATTCTCGTAATGAAGTCTCTACTCTTCGGAGTCGGGTCGGCGGTTGTAGCGGTGGTGTAAGTCGTGATCTGATCGATTATTGCATATTTCCTAGAAGTATCATGTTGACATGGTATAGCCTTTTAAAGGATGAATCTGTGGAAGTGGCCACAAACAAACGGTCATCAAAATATGCGTTAAGTGTCGTATCGGACATGACGTGACGCTGTAATAGATGGTAGGAGCATAGAGTGTCACGTATAAAGGCTTTGTTCAGAAAGTATCTTAAAACATAATAATAATAAAAATAGCAACTTTTAATTATAGGATGATTTTTATAGTACACATACCCAACACGCAAAGTGCTCAAGGTTCCTGGCCCTGCTAGGTTACCGACGGTGCTCATAGTAATCCCCTCCTACCAGTATACCTATTTAACACATTTGTGGAGAGAACGTGGCAAATGTCGGTTAATATCTTGCAAAGTGTTAAACAAGTGTCAAAGAACAAGTAGATTCGCGCCGGAACTCGAACCCATTGACCCATGGAACAAGCCCCTATTAAACACTGTGAATCAAATTCTCTTTCTTTTTATCCTTTTTTGACGTCGCAGATTTCCTATGAAGTATTTCACAAGTGTATACGGTGCCCTTCGAACCATCAGTGGATTATTCACGTTTCTTCAGTACCCAATCTTCATCCTTCTCCGGAGATATCTCGATGATGACCCTTTCTGGGTAAACAAAAATGGTTATTATTTAACCCAGTGAGACTGCTAACGACTTAAAGTTGCAATTGTTACCAGTGTCGAAGGAACTAGAGGGCACACGCATGTCTCATCACACAGCGTTTCACAAAACTCGTCATCAGTGACAAATGACAGTTTTTGTTATAATCTACTGAAATCCTTGCTTCTGATTGGTTATCAGCGGAGTTGTCACTGATTTTTGTTATTTGTCATTGAAAAAAGGCTTTGTGAAACGGGCCCCATGTCTTTGCCAGTTGTCATGCTACCAGAAGTACATGATATAAGAAATTTATTTTATATCGCATATATTATCTTTTTATTCCAATAATTTCACATTAACATACTGAAAATGATTTACGACCTGATATTTTTTTAATACAATTCCTAATATTACCATCCCATGCAGGTTACCATTGCATTCATAATTGGTGATGTATTCACGTTCACCTTACCTGCTGCCCTCTACGTTCTCAGTAAACGGAAAACTTCAACGGACAACAACAACAAGTAGTGAGCTGTCATCAACATCAGTCACGAAGTTTGGAGTTATGGGGGCACGTCCCCCCCCCCCCCCAGTCGAATAGCGAAAAGGGTGGGATAGAGAGGGAGAGAGAGAGAGAGAGAGAGGGAGAGAGAGAGAGAGAAAGAATAGAGAAAGGGGAGCAAAATATACCGCACCGTCCTACTAATCTATTGCCTTCTTAATTCGCAAAGTGCCCCCCCCCCCGGCTAGAAACTCGCTTTGTCGCTAAGAAACACAGACTGAGCTATAAAATGCACAGATATGTCCATGTATGTGGTTTTAAAGTAAGTTTGGGTGTCTTAAAAGTATTTCGAAGTATACTTATTCATAATTATTCATTTTAATAATATCTTTCTTAAACACTTATATTGAATATATTTAGTGGTGCAGTTGTTTTTTAAACTATAGATTTCCTTTCATATAATTTGGCCCCATTCTACGTTCAAGTATGGTGCCTTTATTCCCAAATTACAATTTTTAGTGACGAATGAATATTTGGGCAGTATAATAGTCGTTTATCCCTCTCAGTACATAAATATCACGATGATATAAATGTTCAGGTTAAAAAGAAACAAAATGTGGAAAATTGGCTTTGTCACGGCATTATGCATAGAATATAACTTTACAGAGTGGTTTACTTGTCTATTCAAACAAAATAATTCGGAACATTATATTAAAAGGTGATTTACATCCTAATCAATGAGTCTTTTCGAAACAGTTTTGTCGTTCGAAAGGTCTTAAACATGTCTTTCCCCCTTTTTTCTATCTTTTTTAAAAAGTTTGTTTAAAAACAAAGAGGGTTTCACAATTATTCAGAATTTGTTGTTCTCTTCTTTTGGTGACTAATGTCATGATTCAACATTTGGTATGTACCGTCAACATTTTGAAATAACGTCGTGAGGCTTCGTCAACTGCTCGTAAGAGAGTCGTAAGATTTACGTATTATCAACTATCGCAGCCGACGATGAGTGGTATAAATAGGCCATTTTCGCAATATTATAAAAGTTAATGCATAAATCTTTGTGAAGTGCCTCGTTACAAATTAATTAATTAACCTATTATGAATAATTATTATTCAATAGCTAGAATGCGAATTGCATAAATGAATTGTTGCTAGGTAGGACACCGTCATGGGCTGTCCTATCTGACAAAACGTTATATATATGCAATTCGCGTTGTGACGCTTGAAATACAATCATTCGTAACAACCTACAGGTGATTTAATTTGTTTGGTAACGTATAAACAAAGATTTGGTGCATTACATGTGATTACATTGCGATAATTGTCTATTGTTGATTAATGCGATTACATGTCTCTTGCAAATAAATTATATTGTTGCTATATATTACTTTGTAGATTTCTATTAAATTTTGTTCATACTCAAATAACATTCACATCATTAAAGATTGATTGATTGGTTATTGTTATTTACATTCCATGCAAAATAACAGTGCAAAGTAGTATACATTTTACCAAACATTTACATTATTTTCTCTAAATTATATGGAAATAATTAATCCTGAATCATAGCAATTAAAAACGTGAAAGAATGTTCCGTAAATAATGAAATACGGGAGTGTTAATTTCATGATCATTAGCAGAAGTATAGAATAAATAAAACTTATTCCAAATTGACACAGTTTATTGTAAACTTATTCCTTGTTTGATTGAACTAGGATATTCATGCAAAGATTGATCGGGGCTTATACCACAGTCACGTCATCGAGACCGACACAAGACCGATACTAGACCAAAACGAAGACTTAATCATCCCCAAAGGACCCAGACTCGGTTGGTTTGGAGTCGGTGATGAGTCGGTTTGACGGTGTGACTGAGGTGTGGGACAGCATGAACGGCAAACTCTAATGATACGGCACCAAACATTCCGAGAGAGCGAGAGAGAAAGAAGAGGAGAGAGAGAGAGAGAGAGAGAGAGAAACAGAGATAGAGATAGAGAGGGAGAAAACTATAGTTGACACAGTGGCGGATCCAGGGGGAGGGGGGGGGGGGGGTCGGGGGCCCGCCCCCTTGAGAAAAACACGTGATTTCTTACCTTTGGGGAGGGGGGGGGGTTAGGCCCCCCCCTGGTGATCAAGGGGGGGGGGGGCAGCAAATTTTTAAATTTTCGAGGACCCAACAAAAAATGTACTCACTTCATGAGTTCGTTGATAACGCCATCTTCGGCGGCTTGAATCAAGTGCAGCGCCTATAAAGAACCCGTCAGATTCTGGCAGACGATTATAAAATGCGCATACTATTATTAAATGTAAGACCTCCATAACCTTTTACTTCACCAATAACAAAGGCCAAGGTAAATCTTTATCTCACACACCGGGCAAGTAAGAGCAAGACGCCCTCACACACAGCCTGGCGGAAATCATCGGAGTCGGTGGATAGCGCCGATAAACCCAACAACATCAGCAACAACTTGTCTATGCCAAATGGTACAGTGACCCTTTTCATTACAAGGATTTATTTTTCCTAATGACAATACACAGAATGTAGGTTTAACACAATATACCTCTTTCCCAATGTATTGCAATACGGCATTTTTGGAATGTAACCAAATTTATGCATATGCTATTGTGAAGCCTCTCGATACAAACTATTTCAGTCACCTGTTTTAAATAATGCCTCTGGCTGGCCCTTTACTTATCAAGAGAAACGTTTGGTCAGAAAGTAAGCATAAATTAGTAAGCCGGTTTATTTGAATGCAGTTTAAGCGGATTCTTGCGAATGGCATTATTGAACATACAGTGATCATCCAGGGAGGGCCTTCAATTTTGTAATTTCAATACTATGACCATGTTGACTTCCTCCTGTGTGTATTTTGAAACATCATAGAAGGTTGATTAATAACTCTTAGATCCGAACCTGATTTATCAAGCATCTAACACATCGCCTATGATATCTTCAAAAGAGAAGGACCAAAACGTTGACGGCGACGAAACTGGCTTGTAAGATCGTTGGATAAATTTGTCGTCGTAGCGTCAAATCATCTGCAGAAGAATAAATGGCGAGATGTCTATCACCATACTTTGCGATCGCATTCCTTCTCGGGGCATTCGTCAACTATTTCATCGCCATGGATTTCGGGTTCTTCGCAGCCGATGAGGTGCTTGAGGACAGACACAGGAGAGGTAAAAAGCTATTTAATATTACAAGGTCTCAAATGAATTCAAAGGGAATTTCATGATTTAATCTTTCCAATAGTTTTTCCCCTGTACGTAGTGACCAAATGTCATGATTTTTAAAGGTACTATTTCCCATTTGCAGGCCAAAAAAATGAAAAAGTTAAATTCCAACTGCATCTGAAAAATAATACTAATTTAGAACTTCCCTAAAAAAGGTGGGGCTTGAAAATGTCTTCAAGTGGGAAAATAACGACTATTAGTTGTCAAATCGACTTTAGGGCTATAGAGCCCAAAAGTAATAGTCTTGATTTTCAGACAATTGTACCGAATGGTCATACGTTTTATGCTGCGCAAAGATTCAATCAGTTTAATCTTGGCCATCACAACAAGTGGGTTATTGATGTAAACAAATGCTCATGTACCCTTTACAACTCTTTTCATGTATGTTATTCCCAAAGAAGAAGAAAAGCCAGTCAGTCACGCAATAGTGTCTGACAGTGAAGTCTAGCAAGTAAACAGGTTTCCTTGCATAATTTGAATATGAGGACACTGCTAACGTTTACATTTCACAGATAGGACATAGCCTTAAGGGCTCTCTCGAAATGTTTTTTTAATGATATTATTCGAGAGAGCCTTAAACGGCTCCCATACCCCTGCACGGAGAGGCATGTAAACAAAACTCAAAAGTGGTCCAAAATCACACTTTCGCGCACCCGACCAATATTGGACAGTGGCTTTGATAAATTTTGTCCGAGTTTTGGTCTTAATTAGCGCTTTAATTTCAAAATCGGATCTAAAAATAACAAAATAAGAGCAATTTTCTTACCAGACCGATACAGCTCAGCTCCCTTTTCACGTGTACCGTGTGAATTCACGATGTCTACACAATGGTGATGACCTCTGACTGGCACTTCCGTAATTGTGGGTAAATTGTGCTGCTTCCGTATAATGCGCTGTATGAGTGTTATTCAGCGCATTATACGGAAGCAGCACATTTACGAAGTGCTATTCAGAGGTCATCACCATTGTGTAGACATCGTGAATTCACACGGTACACGTGAAAAGGGAGCTGAGCTGTATCGGTCTGGTAAGAAAATTGCTCTTATTTTGTTATTTTTAGATCCGATTTTGAAATTAAAGCGCTAATTAAGACCAAAACTCGGACAAAATTTATCAAAGCCACTGTCCAATATTGGTCGGGTGCGCGAAAGTGTGATTTTGGACCACTTTTGAGTTTTGTTTACATGCCTCTCCGTGCAGGGGTATGGGAGCCGTTTAAGGCTCTCTCGAATAATATCATTAAAAAAACATTTCGAGAGAGCCCTTAAGGCTAGATAGGACATACATGACATATTCCTAATTCATGCAAAGTTCTACAGAATTTGAGGTTGGCTGCAAAAGGGACATAGTACCTTTAAGTTGTGCATGTATATTAACGTTTTACGAGTTTTTGCATTGATTTGTATATGTTTAATAGGTATTGTCATCCCATTTTCAAAATGGCGGCTAGGGAGAATACATTTCCCTTACGTGCTATTTCTATACTCCGCTTGTCAGGCATTGCAGACATGTCCTAACCGGTTAGTCTGGTTCGTTAATATCTTTTATACAACACCTACGTGGATCCTTGTCATTTGATTGGACGATTGTTGGTCACATGATACTCAATAGATGGTATATTGCACGGTCGTGCATTTTTGGTTATATGCAGACTGCTTATCTCTCTGCTGCATGTGCGCGCGCGTGTCCCTGCGTGTATCTGACGCGAAGGCAATCTGCATGTATTTTGAGAAGGCTTGACTCGAACTGTAATTTATCTTTATAAGGAGTAAAGCATAATTTTTTGATTAACGTTCTATTAGGTCTTCTTCGATGTTGTATAAAACAAATAATGAATGTTTTT